AATCTGAGTCTAAGCACCTTTAATGCTGCTTGTAATTTATATAAAATTTTTAAGTTTTAAAATGTATATCAATTATTGTTTTACATTTCGAAAATTCTTTTTTGTCTTAATTTTCTTTCAGAATTTTACAACTGATGTTTTTTTGGCAACACTATATTTTTTCTGTTGCACTCCTGACATGGTATAACATTTTTTTAAACATCAGCCATGACCACAACTTGATTATAAACAAAAGTTCCTACAGCCCACATTTAAAGCTCAATACTTTGAATATTATCAGGAAAGTTTTTATTTTCAACATAAAGCATTATCATTTATTTCACAGATCTCCAAAAAATATTGAAATTTCAAAATGTCACAAAAAGGTGTTGCACTCCTGACAATTTTAGCATCATTTTTGGGCATAACTTTTTTGTTAATTGAGATATCAACGAGATATTTGGCAGGTATTTAGACACTATCCAAAGACATATGCTGAGACATAGAAATCTATTTTCATTGCCTAAATTTTTAGTGTGGGTTGATAAATATGCGTTTGGTCATTTTTTTTTAATTCATCCATTTACAGCAAAGTGATTTTCATTCCCCACTGATAGCTTTAAAAAATATTGTGATTTTAATGGACATAACCAATTACATTGATAATGAAGCAAAATTGTCTGTTCTTGGCACTTTGTTATAAGCATGTTTTACTGTAATATATTTAACACAAGCACATTGCAAAATAACTTGACGATGTTGATCTCAGAGTTATTAAATGCTTTTCAGCAATAAAAAGAAAATGAGGCCTAAAGGCCTTAATGGTCACCTGAATATAATACAACAATGTAAAGGGTTCATAAATTAAAGTATAAAATAAAACAAAATAAACTGACAGATGAAGTGTTGCCAAAAGAGAATTAGGATGATTAGGGACCAATGAAATAATTAGTATGGTACACAGCAACAACTCATAGAGTAGATCTGCTTGTTAATATCACCATGCAGACTAAACAAAACAAAAGTGCATCATTGTATTCCCTCTTTTTGTATTATACTATAAAAATTCTTGCTTAATTCTCTTATTCTATTTACCTTTCAATTACATTATTTACAGTGAATAATTACATGTATCATAGCTGAATAGCAAAGGGGAATAACTTCTCTCAGTAGAATACAAAATTATGAAGCCCTGGCCAGCACCAGAACACTTGACTAAGTGGTCCAGAATTTCAAAAATCTGGTAAAAATACCCTTGCTTATTATAACTTTTACTCTTTGCCTCATAGATGTCCAGAAAATAATGCATTTTCACTATAGATTCAACGTAGCCTTGTCTTAACACCAGAACCAATGACCCAGGGTCATTAAATTCACAAATTTGGAAGAGGTACCCTTGCTCATCATAAGTTAGTTGAAGATTTTCAAAGAATTGATGCATTTTCACTATATAATATAGCCCCGCACTAACACCTAAGCCCTGACTCAGTGGCCATGAAATCCACAAGTTTGGAGTAGGTACTCTTGCTCACCATAATTATGCACTTATTTTGTTTGCTGAATACCCAGGAGATTTTCAAAGGAATAAAACATTATAAGTATATAATCAATACACATCCCCCAACACCAGAAAACCCTGACTATGGGCACATATTTCACAATTTTGGAAGAGGCATCATTGCTCACTGTAATTATGCATTATTTTGTCTGCTTAATACCCAGGAGATTTTCATCAAAGAAATATTACATCACAATTGTATAATCAATAGACATGCCCCAAAACATTTCATAATTCTGGAAGAGTTATCCTTGCTCACCATAACTATTCACTTAGTTTATCTGCTAAATACCCAGGAACAGAGAAGATGATTATAAAAGAATCTATGCACTTTCACTTCATAACCAGTAGAGTCCCACCCTAACATCAGACCCCTTAAGGAAGGGCCATGAAGCTCACAATATTGGAAGAATCACCCTTGTTCATCATACCTATGCACTTAGTTTCTTTGCTAAATAACCCAGAGCAGAAAAGATAATTTTCAAATAAATGCATTTTCACCATATAAACGATAGAGCCCCCACTTCCAACTCCAAATCCCATAACCCTGGGGCCACGAAATTCACAATCTTGGAAGAAGCACTTTTGCTCATCATAACCATGTACTTAATGTGTTTACTTAATACCAAGGAGACGATTTTTAAAGAATTCATGTATTTTCACAATAGAGCCATACCCTAACACCAGATTCCCGATCCAGTGGCCATGAAATTCACAATTTTGGAAGAGGCACCTAGCTCATCATAATTTTGCACTTAGTTTGTTTTTTTATATCAAGCAGCAGCAAGGAAGATTTTCAAAGAAATAATGCACTTTTACTATATGATCTATATAGCCCCACCCTAGCACCAGAACCCGGCCCTGATCATCGGGTCATGAATTTCACAATTTTGGTAGAGGGCTTAATGCTTATTACATTCATGCTAACACTTTGACTGCTTGATGTCCAAGAGTAAAGAAGAAGATTTTTAAAGATTGCATGAACTTTTATAGATTTAGCCCTCACCTCAGGCTCCAGGGGGGAAGGGACCATGAAATTCAAAATTTTTGTTTCCCTTCAGAAATAGATGCTGTATGCCAAAATTAGTTTTCAGAGAAGAAGGTTGAAAATGTTAACAGACGACACACAACTAATGATGATGGACAAAAACAGATAGCAATAGATCACCTAAGTGACTCAGGTGACCTAACAAAAGCCAGTAATCTTATTTCTTCAGAGGGCTTCTTGGAAAATTAATAATATTAACTTCCTTGTGTGTATTTAGGAATCTACAGTACCTAAAGCCATGACCTATGCCAATACTTGAACTCTTTCTTGTATTGGTTGAAATGCCAGACAAAATTTTATATACCCTGATAATAGTATTGAACCTCCTGGCATTAAATACATTTATATACAGTTGAACTTCGGTATTTCGAACACTGATATCTCGAATACTATGGATATGTCGAAATGATTTTAAAGTCCCAACAACTTATTTTCATTTTACCCCTGATATCTCAAATCCTCAGATATCTCAAAGTTTTTCTTGGTCCCATGGAGTTCGAGATAACAAAGTTTGACTATATAAGTCTGCAGTACATACATCTTTTTTGTGACTGAGAGAGCTGGCAGAACAGTTCTGTTGCATTATGGATATCTCCTCTGGCCCAGAATGCATAAGGAAGGGCTACTTTAAAGAACTCAGCAACAGTTTTTGGAAGTCTAGAAAAAATAAGTAAATATTTTAAAACTTTGCATGATTTTCTCTACTTGCTTTCTATCAATACTAAGTATCGCAATTATCTCATGATTATCTAACTTACTGCCACTCTTTAGGGACAAAGTCAAGAAAGCTCTAAATCTCAGGTCATTTTGGGGCATAACATATTGTTTATGCTAGTGAAAATCAAATAGATTCAAAGAATGAGTATGCCTAAAGTACAATGTGTTGTTAATAGTTGCACTTCAGACAGTAAGTCATCTTATTCGGAATGTTAAGACCTCCAAAAGTTACATTTATCAGAAATAAATGATTGATTTTAACATTAGAAAAGTCAGCTTGGTGGAAAATTCTTCAAAAATGTAACACAAGAGAACTAGCATCTCCTAATTTTATCAGCGTGGCACACCAACCATTTAGCAAGATATTTCATCAGAACTTTCTCTAAGTATTTGTCTACAATATGTCATATTTGGAATATTGTAAGCATTTAATACCTTGATTTTGTTGAAGAATAGATATTTCTACGAGAAAAATAGATTAATGGAATCAATCCTTTGAATGACATCATTTTTATGACTATAAAGACTTGTGTTTTACTTTTTGGGTTGTGTGTTTTTTGCAAATAGGTAGGTAAATTCACTTTTTTCCTTTCTTTTTTTGTGAAAAATAAAATTTTTGTCATACTCATAGCAGAGAGGATAAAATGTTTGAGAACTGGTCACAAGGAAAAGCATCAAAATAAGACAATAAACTAATATACCTCATATACAATTTCAAATGAAAACTAGAGAAACTAGGAATGAGGTTATAAAAATGATTCCCCCCCAAGGGGGTCAAGACATAAACAATCTGTGTGTCAAGTACTTTGTTTTGTGCTTTTCCATTGAAAAGTTATGGACAAGGCATAAAAATAGTCTTTTTCTTGTCTGTGACCTTGAACTTGTCAAAATGCCATTGAGTCAAGTTCTTGACAAACCATCAGGTTATAAGTAATCTTAGAGTTAAATATAAGCTTCATGTTTCTCCATTTCAAGATATTGCCAGGACAAGATTTTGTACGTTTTTTCTGCCTGTTACTTTGAACTTTCCAAATGACCTTTCAGGTCATGAAAAAAATTAGGACATGAGTAATCTTAGCAAGACACATGAACTTCAAATGTTTATCCACTATAAGGCTACAGACTAAATAGGAATTTTTTACTTTTACTGCCAGTGACCTTGTACTTGCCCATTGATCTTAAGTCAAGGTCAAAAGATAAACCCTCAGGACAAAAAGTAACCTTTGTGTCAAGTATGACTTATTAGAAAGTTACAGACAGGACATGAATTATACATTTTTTAAGCCAATGACAATGAGCTTCCTGAAATGACCTTGCAAGGTCATGACACACCTTTCAGATCATAAGCAATAATGTATGAGCTAATCATATTTCTCCATAACAAAGTTTTTGTTTGGACACAATTACATGGACAGGTGGACAAGGTGATTCCTCTATACCCCTTCACCCAAACTTTGCTTGCAGGGGGTAGGATGGGGAAGAGAGATATTACAAGACTTTTCATATCACCAAACCTTTTGCTGTGTGAAATGTTTACCTTTTGGACAGGACGTATTTAATTCTTTGACTGGCAGTTATGGTGGCCATTCTCAGTTCTGCTTCCTCGCTCTGATAGGGGACTTTTCCCTTTCGTTTCCTCTGAGATATTTGAGATGGTAGCATACATTCAATTAAAGTCCCCAGAGCTGAAAAAGTGGAATGTTATTATCAGAGAACATGCTTTAAGGATATCCGATCCTCAGCCAGGAAGGATAACTCTTAAATTTCTAATTTTATTTAAAAAGTCTCAAAATGAAGATTGAAATTGAGATCTTTTCATGCAACAATTTTCATTTTATGCATCTTAATATGATTCAAGGTTCTTTGAAGTCTTAGAAATGGTCTTGTAAAAAGTTGACATTTGTACCCCATAAAAGAAAAATATTGAATCATTTTTAGAGAATTTGAATTTCCTTTTGTCTAGCATTAGATACCACTGCTTATTAGCAAGATATGAAATTAGATGTGATATGTGATGTCTAGCAATGATAGCACAAGCTTTTTACACTATGCATTATATGATAATTGAAGTAAAGAGAAGAACTAAAATACTGTACAAGCATAAAAAAGATGCAATTTTCTCCAAATGCCTGGATACCTATATTTTTCTATCCTAATTTATATTTGTTGATCAATTTTCAGTTAGAAAATGCATAGCTGGTGTTTTTATTCACACTTCCTGAAAATATATTTGAGATTTGATAATTTTCCCTATATAATATGATGAACTATAATGTTTCACTTTGAAGAAATTCCATGGGTAAATTCACATTACTATGTGAAATCAAAGACATTTTCGTGAGCATTTTCAATTTCTTAAAAGCTGATTTTCAGAACCTGAGGATTGGACTACCTTAATTTAAAACATTTGTTTTTTTTTTTTTTTGTTTTTTTTTAATATCAAAGATTACCAGGTAATAAAAATTAAAATTATCATTTTGTAATATCCCAAGTGAATATTTTAAAATTCACAATTTCCAAACCGGAAGAGGCAAAAAAATAAATAAATAAATAAATTTTAAAAAATGAAATAAAATATAGAAAAAAATACAAAAAATTCAAAAGTTTAGAAGGTAAGAAGTACACATATTGCATGTCAAACATTGCAATATTCGATCTTTTTCCATTTCTATTCTATAATTTTTCATTTGTATTCTATAATTTTTCCTTTGTATTGCATAATTTTTTTATTTGTATTGTATAATTTTTATTTGTATTCTATAAAATTTTCCATTTGTATTGTATAATTTTTCATTTGTATTGTATAATTTTTCATTTGTATTGTATATTTTTTTTCATTTTGTATTGTATAATTTTTATTTGTATTCTATAATTTTCCATTTGTATTCTATAATTTTTCATTTGTATTCTATAATTTTTCATTTCTATTCTAAAATTTTTTATTTGTATTGTATAATTTTTATTTGTATTGTATAATTTTCCATTTGTATTCTATAAACTTCCATTTGTATTGTATAATTTTACAATACAAATGGAAAAGTATACAATGCAAATGAGAAATTATACAATACAAATGGAAAATTACTGGGTATACAATATAAATTGGGAATTATACAATACATTCAAATAGAAAATTATACAATACAAATGGAAAATTATACAATACAAATGGAAAATTATACAATACAAATGGAAAATTACACAATTTACAAATAAAAATTATTATACAATACAAATAAACAAAAAATTACAATACAAATGGAGAATTATTGAATTCAAATAAAAAATTTACAATGCAAATGAAAAAATATAGAATGCAAATAAAAATTTTACAATGCAAATGAAACTAGTATTAATTGTAACGGGGACCGTTACAGATGTTCCCCAAACGCTCCCCAACTTCCTTTTGGTGTCTTATTCCCTGTAAGCTTCATTAAATAAGGCAATCAAGTAAATTGGGTTTTTTACGCATTACACGCGCGCGCACGGGCATGCATGTACAAAATGACCATGTCAACTTGTCTACACTTTAAATAAATCTTTATATTCAAATTTCATCAAAAGATAAAAAAAAAATCGGCTATATTAAGTATATCTGACATTTTACGCATTGCACGCACGCACGTGCATGCATGTCCATGATGACCCTGTCATCTTGTCAACACTATTAATATATCTACATATTTTTAATATCAAAGCATTTCATCAAAAAGTATAAAAGTTACGGCTATATCAAGTATATTGGTCATTTTAGCATTGCATGTGCGCGCACGTGCATGCATGTGCATGTTGACAATGTCGTCTTGTCTACATTTATAATATGTCTATATATTCTGAGTATCAAAGCATTACACCAAAACATGTTTCAAAGCAATTCATAAAAAATGTACAAATGTAAGTCTATATCAATTGTATTGGTTATTTCAATCATTGCGCGCACGTGCATGCATATGCATGCTGACCATGTCATCTTATCTACACTATTAATATATCCTTACATTCTGAGTATCAAAGCATTTCATCAAAAGATATGAAAGTTTTGGCTATATCAAGTATATCGGTCATTTTACTCATTGCACGCGCACGCACGTGCATGCAAGTGCATGCACGTGTGCGCTGATCATGTCATCTTGTGTACACTTCTAATATATATTTATATTCTGAGTTTCAAAGCAATTCAAATAAAATGTACAAGTTAAGTCTATATCAGTTGTATTGGTTATTTCAATTATTGTGCATGCGCACACGTGCATGCATGTGCATTCTGACCATGTCATCTTGTCAACACTATTAATATATCCTTATATCCTGAGTATCAAAGCATTTCATCAAAAGATATGAAAGTTATGGCTATATCAAGTATATTTGTCATTTTACCCATTGCACGCGCACTCACGAGCACGCACGTGCATACATGTGTGCGCTGATCAAGTCTTCTTGTCTACACTTCTAATCTGTATTTATATTCTGAGTTTCAAAGCAATTCGTCAAAAAATGTACAAGTTAAGTCTATATCAATTGTATTGGTCATTTCAATCAATGCGCATGTGCGCACGCGCATGCATGTGCATTCTGACCATGTCATCTTGTCTACACTTTTAATATATCCTTATATTCTGAGTATCAAAGTATTTCATCAAAAGATATGAAAGTTATGGCTATATCAAATATACGAGGGGTTATCAAAAAGTTCGTGGACTGATGCGATAAAATTAATACTATGTAGTCTGTGCTTACAAAATTTATAAGAAACATAAAACAACAAAAAGTTAAGAAATGTTGAAAATTTTAGCTCGATACGTTGATAATTTTCCAAATTATTCTAAAATAAAAAAGACATTCTATGATCACCCGGCGCTGGCGGCGTTTAGTTTCATAACGCTCGACAACGTCATTGTTTCTCATTGTCCACTCTCTCTACCTCATACACTTATCTTGATGAGATTATCTGGAGTTAAGTAAGGGTTGAAGCCCATCTTGTTTATATTACTTTATAATGTCATGAACAGCTGCTTTCAATGCATATAATATTGTAAATGGATCTATACATAGGGAAAGATCCTCACTTGATTATGCCAGAATACTTAGCTTGTTGGAGTTCAAATTCTACAACACATGATCAACGTCACTTTTCGACGTGACTGATTTTTGACACCCTGACTACAAATCGACATTAACTGTGCATCTTTCATCTCTCTGAATCTTTTTGGGCATTAAAAACAAACACTCTGGATGCATTTTATTTCTCTTTTGCCCGTTTTAACATTCCGTAGGTCTATACCAGTTTTTCCAGGTTCGAAACTTTACAGAATGGTGGAAAAAGAAACCCCTCCCCCTTTTTGACGTCATTTTCAAGCCTTAATTTTTTGGACACTCCATATAAAATTTACGATAAAATTTGATAGAACGTACAGAATGGGGTAAAAACTGCAAATTTTACAGAACAATTGTGTTGTACCACATGCCTGAAATAACAGGATTTTTTTTATGACAAATGTTCATATCAAAAGAGTTTTTCTCAGTTACACTCAGGTAGAAAAAACGTCATATTGGAGGTTGCGCCGCCTGGACATACAATTGCTTACAAAAACATTATAAATTTATTTAAAAAATAAAACTTATGATTCATGGTTTATTCTATAGATAGAAAAGATGATGCTAACTAAATGTTTTAAAATTCATTGATGTACCTAAAGCGGTTTTAATCTTATGGCGCTAGTCCACGAACTTTTTGATAACCCCTCGTATTGGTCATTTTACTAATTGCACGCGCACGCACGTGCATGCACGTGCGCGCATAATGACCTTCGTTCCACAAATCTACATAACATTCCTATTAACCATAAAAAGATTTCACCTCAATCGGATGTGTAGTTTCGAAGATCACTCACGGACAAAAAAGTACCCAGGAAGAAAAATAATAATAACTAGATGCGTTTCTTGTTGCTAGGGCAACAAGTGGTCTTCCGACCGAACTTTTCTCCAGATCGCTGTGCTACCTCACTTCATTTAATACTTTATTGAAGGTATTTTTTGTTCGCGTTTATGTAACACAGTCTTTCAACATAGATCATGATTATTAAAGGTGCTATTATAGGTGCTAACCATTAACCATTCACCTTTTTGCATCACTTCCTGTCACGATCGGAAGTAGTCTGTGCTTACAAAATTTATAAGAAACATAAAACAACAAAAAGTTAAGAAATGTTGAAAATTTTAGCTCGATACGTTGATAATTTTCCAAATTATTCTAAAATAAAAAAGACATTCTATGATCACCCGGCGCTGGCGGCGTTTAGTTTCATAACGCTCGACAACGTCATTGTTTCTCATTGTCCACTCTCTCTACCTCATACACTTATCTTGATGAGATTATCTGGAGTTAAGTAAGGGTTGAAGCCCATCTTGTTTATATTACTTTATAATGTCATGAACAGCTGCTTTCAATGCATATAATATTGTAAATGGATCTATACATAGGGAAAGATCCTCACTTGATTATGCCAGAATACTTAGCTTGTTGGAGTTCAAATTCTACAACACATGATCAACGTCACTTTTCGACGTGACTGATTTTTGACACCCTGACTACAAATCGACATTAACTGTGCATCTTTCATCTCTCTGAATCTTTTTGGGCATTAAAAACAAACACTCTGGATGCATTTTATTTCTCTTTTGCCCGTTTTAA